TAGCTCAAGAAGGTACTTGTCTTTCATTACGATCAACGCCTTCTGTTTGTCAGCTTCAGCCGAGGTAACTAGTCCGGTTAGACGAGCTACCTCAGCCTCTAGCTCGGCCGTTTTTTGTTGAAACTTCTTCAGCTCGGTTATTTTTTCCTCAACCTCTGCTATGGCCTGCCTAGCCATTTTCCTGAGCTCCAATACCTTTTGATGGGGAATTTGGCTCTTCTGAAGAGACTGAAATGAATGGAAAGAAACCAATGACGAAACTGAACTGAAAGTTAGAAAAATTTGAGAGACGAGGGGCACTTACCAGGATCATGGATTTAGTGGCCGATCGGATGGCCTTTAGCTCGGTCAGGTTCTGGTGGTGTTCCATGTCTGCGGGAAGGCAAACACTCTTGGCAAGGTTGAAGGCCATCAAGTGATCCTTCTCAGCAACCACCGAATCGGTATCTTGGATATGGCGGTTCTGAAATTTCAGCTTCGGTGCCCACTTGGAAGAGCCAGCACGGTCAGAAGGCTCCAGTTGTGGAATTGGTGGATGGGTGATTTCGTCCTCATCCACTAGACGCTGCTCGGTCGGGGTAGACCGGGCGCGCTTGGATGGGCGTGATGAAGAAGGCTGTTGAGAAGGAAGGGCCACAACGGCAGGTTGCGTTTGGCTTGGTGGCGGTACTTCAGGTCTGTTGGTTTCGGTCAAGAGGGCCTTGACTCTGTTTCTCTTGGCCATTTCTTCTTCAGCGGTCAGTGGGATTAGTCTAATTTCTGGCAAGTTTGGGTCCGGTTCGGGGGCCTCCTCTAGCAGAAAGTCGGTCACTCTCACTTTTCGGCAGCCGCTATATCTATAGGTCGGTTCGAACTTTAGCAACTTGACCCAACTACGTTCTGGATACCGTAGTGCGGCGCGTAAGGTCGCTAGATCTGGGTAACTGTATAGAGACTGAAGGTGGGCAGAATCTACAAAAGAAGACAACTGTTAGTTCGGCTGAAAAATAGAGAACCAAAATATAGTAAAGCACGCAAGAAAACCGAAGTAATTATACCAGGTGTTCCTTTTTTCCAATTAATACTTCGGCCAGGAATCCGGGCTTGATGATCCTCAAAGTTCCCAGACACCCAAAAAAAATCGTCGTCATTCAAGTTTTTATCCGGTGTATTTTTATTATTTTCTCACGTCGGCGGCGTATTCTAAGATAGTACACCCAGCCGTCTTCCTTCAAACCTATGGAATACTAGTGGAAGATTTCGGCTAGACCGAGGTTGATGCCTGCTTGGCGGTTTAGTTCGGCTATTCCCATTATTATACGGTAGGAGTTTGTGGAAAGTTGGGTTGGGCATAGTCTGGTTTGCCTAAGGAATTCACAAATACGGGGTTGGACTGGAAATCTTAGCCCGATTTCTATTATTGAAAAAAGGGTAAAGGGTACAAAACCCTGGTTTCCCCAAGGTATGACATCTTTCTCGGCTAAGATTAGGTGGACGTCGTCGGGTATATTGTAATCTTTTCAGAATTCAGCTAGACCGCCTGGAGTATTTACTAAAAATCTATACTTCCCCATTTATTTTATAAGTTATGAATAAGTTAGATCGGTGGCAAAATTGTGCTCAGTAGCTCGGTATGGCGCGCAATGGAGTGCCTGGGCAACCTAAGTCTGCAAAGTGGAAAACAAAGGGGTTAAGCACAGATCATTGGACCGTGCTACAAAATAAAAGCAAAAAATAGGAGTCCTACTTCGGCTATGTGCATGCTACAGGTTCTGTCTCGGTTTCAACAAGATGCTTAGTAGCTCGGATTGAGCAGGGGGTTCGATATCTCGGTCTTGGCAAGCGATTCGTTATCTCGGTTAAATAAAAGGCTCAGTCAGACCGGTTGAGCCTCTAGGGGCAGCTTTCTGAGTTCGGTCTAAAACTTAGAAAGCTGGCTTAGCCCCAAAAGTCCTAGCTCGTTCGAAAGATAAGGTTTCAGTATGCTACGTTCGGAATTAGTTCGACTCGTTTACCTCGGCTAAGGTCTATCAAAAAGTGGTTGACTTATTGAAACTATTGGTACCGACATAGAATGCTAGTTCGGTTAAAGTCTGATAGAAGGGTTAAAGTCTGATAGAAGGACATTGACTACAAACTACTTTCTAGTTCGGTTATATGGTAATTATGGATCAAACAGTGTTTTATAGATTATTTCATGAAGTTCATGAGGTTCTTATGAAGTTTTTCCTAAAAAACGCATGATAGAGCAAGAAAAAGTGTTTTGCAAAAACACCCAAAACAAAGTAGGAAAACAAGGAAAGCAAGATAAAGGTGCAATGCTTACCAGATGAAGAGGCAAGAACTGGAGATGAGGGCAGCAGCAATGGAGAACACGAGCTCAGAGGTTGAAGAAGCAATGGAGGTTCAGAGAGAGAAGTTGAAGAATGAATGGCGTAAATAATTCTCTAGCCAGGGGTTGTTTTGTGGAAAGAGAAGGGGCAAAAGACGGGAACTGTTCAAATTGTACGAAGTATGAGGGCGGCGTGACAGCTGCGATAGGCCAGTAAGGGCGTGCCACGTGTCTTGGGAAGGAGAAACGCTTCAGTTACTGTGATTGAAGAGACGTTTTGACCGGACAGCTAGAGCCCAGTATGAGTTTTAGTTCGGTTGAAAAGGTTTACGAGTTTTTAGCTCGGCTGGAAAGGCTAAATGATTTTTAGCTCGGCTGGAAAGGCTTAAAACTTTAGCTCGGCTGATAGACAGGTAATCCCTATCATGCTGCGCAGATGGAATCAAGGGGCAATTGAGAAGGGAATTTATGTGAAAATTGGGCCGAGCTGGGAAATGGGTCTTTATGGCCCACAATATGAAGGGCTAAATAAAAAAGGCCGTAAAGTTACTCCGGCCCGAGAGAGGTACAAAGTTACTCCGGCCCGAGAGAAATGTAATGTTACTCTGGTCCGAAAGCGACTTGGAGTTAGGCCGGTTGGAAGACGCTTTGAAGTTAGACCGGTCTCAGAGTTATCCCGGTCATGACGTATTGTGGTTAGACCGGTTAGAACCTTGCTACTCGGTAGCTCGATCTAACCACGCCATTCTTTGTACATGAGGAACCGAGATAAAGAGTAGTGAAAAGAAGAACCGAACTAAAGACGGTTCGGTCTACTCTGTGGCTCGGCGTGATCGTAATTACTTCGGTCATATTGGAGTTCGGCCATGGTAAAAACCATCTCACTTGGTTTAAGCAGTGAGGGGGTGTTGAAGGATAAGCATTATCTTTCAAGAGTATGAATCCTAGGAGGACTCTGCATGGAGAAGTAAAAGTCCTACTAGGATTGTGCCACACGAAACCTATAAAAGCTCACAAACATCATCTTTGGAGAGGTAACACACAACTTTGCTTTCTGAATACACAGAGCTTTTGTCTATTGGTCAAGCTTACTGACTTAGGCATCGGAGAGGTTTCCGGCACACACTCGCCGGCTAGCTCACGTTTGTGTTTTCAGGTGATAAAGCGACGACGTACAAAGGAGTGCAGACTTGATCAACAGGATTATACGAGAAGGTTTATTTCTTTCCCGTACAGAACGGATGTTTGCCCGGTCTTAATTGCCACTTAAAGCTTGTTTGACATCTTTTAAATAAGTGCATTGAATTATTTTTTTTTTCTTTCTTATATATATATATATATATATCTTAAAATTTTAACTAAGAACTCTTATTTTGGTGAAGCGTGCCCTTCCGACAATTCATCATGCCCACCGAAATCTCCAATCCCAATGCACATACTGGCCAAAATTCCGCCAAAACACTACTCCTTTCTGTTATCAAACCCAAGTATTGTCGTTGACATACCTTGATTATTATTAGGATTCATTTGAGATGTGAATTGATTTTTTAACTTTTTGACTTTTTAACTATTTTAGTTTAGATTAAAAAAACCTTATTTAGGATGGGCCTTTTGACTTTTATGAGAAAAATTGAAATGATTATAGTTTAAATATAATATTTTGTCTTATTAACTTTTTAATCTATTTTGTCTTTTTATGACTATTTTAGCTCAAATGTGATAGGTCAAACGGGCACTTATTATTATTATTATTCTTATTATTATTTTTTTGCAATGGATTTTTTTTGGAGGGGGGTAATTGCATCGTAATAAGATTCTGAAGAAAAAAAAAATTATAATTTCACTTATTAATATTTATAAAAAAAATCACTAATTTATAATTATTTTTATAAAATTACACTAACTTGATATTTTCCTTTTTTAATTTATTAGTATTTGTTTTTTTTTTACTTTTGTTAAAAGTTGAAAGACTAGTAAAGTAAAAAATATATGGTAATTTATGCTTTCCCCTTTATATTTGGTCATTTTTTCACTTTAATTCTTGAAAATTTTTTTTTTCAATTTGATCTTTCATGCTTCAATTTTTTTTTTTTCAATTTACTCCTAAAGCTAACTTTTGTTTAAAATTAGATAAAAAAATATTAGGTTAACTATCACATAATATAAAAAAATATATATTCATTAAAATTTTGATTTGTGTAACAGGTGTGAATTTTTTATAATAAAATATTTTTATGCAATGTAAGTGTTAATGTGTCATTTTTTGTCTAATTTTGAGCACTAGAGTAAATAGAGAAAAACTTGAAATGTGAATGGTTAAAGTGGAGAAAAGAGTAAATTTAAAGGGGCAAAATAAGAAAAATGGCCAAACATAAAGGGAAAGTGCAATTTATCCAAAGTAAATATATAAAAATCCTAACGGTTGTATAAAAATCCGACTAACTAATTTTGTCTAAGAAGGAATTCTATGAGGAACAGGACAAGGTGTTTGTAATGTATTGGGTTGCTTGATTGAGAAGCTTCTTAACAGAATCAATTAGTATTTAATCTTAAAAACCCTAATTCAAAGAAACGTCATACAGCTATTCGTGTAAATTGATTTGGAATGAAGAAAAAGATGATGGCAGTGACAAGGAAGATGAAAGGGATTGAGGAAGAGGAGGAGGAGGAGGAGGAGGAGGAGGAGCAGATGAAGAAGAAGAACAAGACAGTGAAAGAGAATGTTGAAGATGGAGTGACATGGAGGAGAGGGAAGATGATCGGCAAAGGAAGCTTTGGGTCGGTGTATTTGGCTACTTTGAAGAAACCACCCCCCGACAAGTCGCAGCTGCTGATGGCTGTGAAATCTGCGGAGTTGTCTGTTTCGAAATCACTTCGAGAAGAGAGAAAGGTTTTCAACAATCTTCAAGGCTGCCCTTATATCATTCAGTGCTTTGGAGAAGAGACTACTACCAGCCAAACAGGCGAGACTGTTTATAATTTGTTGCTGGAATATGCTTCTGGAGGTTCCCTACGTGATCTGATCGAGAAATCAAATGGGTTTGGATTGCAGGATTCGGATGTCAGGCGTTATGCCAGGTCCATTCTTCGTGCCATTAAACATGTTCATGACTCTGGCTATGTCCACCTTGATCTCAAGCCTGACAACATCTTACTTGTGCCTACAAAAAGTCAAGGTAAAACTACTACTTCTACCCCTGCTACTACTAAAGTTAAAGCTGCTAATAATAAGAACAAGAAGTTTATGGCAAAAGTCTGTGATTTTGGGTTGGCAAAAATGGTGAAACAACAAATCAATAAGAAGAAGAAGAAGAAGAAGAAGAAGAGTGAGTCGAGCTATTATTACCTGAGAGGGACTGCTTTGTATATGTCCCCTGAAGCTGTGGCTGATGGCATACAAGAGGCTCCCTCTGATATTTGGGCTATTGGCTGCGTGGTTCTTGAGATGCTAACCGGGAAGAGGGTTTGGGACAGGAAAGTTCATGGGAACACCGAGAAACTCCTCTACAACATTGGCTATGGGTCCGATTTACCTGAAATTCCAAGTTCCATATCAGAAGAGGGAAAAGATTTCTTGAAGGGTTGCTTTGTGAGGAAGCCTGCTGATAGATTGACTGCTGATATGTTATTGAAACTTCCATTTGTCTCACAAGCAGAAGAAGATGACGATGAAGAAGATGCACAAAAAGTCGAAGTACTGAATCTGAATTTGAAGGAGAGTTTGGATGCACAAGGGGTCAGCACAATGCTGTCACTTTCCGAGACTGATGATGAGGATGACTCTTGGTTAGTTGAGCCAACTATGATGTCTGAAGACAATAATGACTCTTCTTCATTAGTTGATGAGCCGAGGATTATATCTGAAGAAGAAGAAAAAAAAGAGCCCTCCATTTGTTGCGAGTACGACAATGACTGTTTGATGGATGAGCCAGGTATTATATCTGAAGACGAAGAAGAGCCGTCCATTTGTCCTTCATCAGAAGCAGAAGCACTTGAGGGTGTAGATGCTGATGATGAACATGAAGAAGCATCATTAAAAAAGAGTTCGGATACTCAGGGGGCCAGCTCAATGTCGGATACTGATAATGATAGCGATGAAGATGAAACCATAGAGGAAGAAGAGGATGAGGATCACTCAATTAGTCCTTCATCTGAAGCAGTAGAGGATGTAGATGAGGATGCAAAAGCTGAAGTATTAAAATGGAGGAGTTTTGATCCAAAGGAGGTCAACTCAGGATTGTGCTTGTCAGATGAGTCCTGGTCAGATGAGTCAAGTTCTGTGCCTGAAGCTGAAGATCATAAAAAGAGACCTGTGAGTCTGGCTATGGATGATGAGACAACGACACAAGATCACAAAAGGAGGAAACGGATGATGCCTAGATCAGTTGCAGGCTTGAAGCAAATGATGATCGAATATTTTATTGCAAATCATCAACCCAAACCTGTCAAGGCAATACCACAGAAGCCGCCATCCACCTTACCCACCACTGCTGCACATTAGCGAAGAAGATTATGTACAAATCAGCCACCAAAATTCTAAAAGATCTCAATGTGCCAGCTCGCTTTGGCACATGTTCCAACCCTCTCCTCTGCCTTTAGTTGAAGATCATTTTTGCTATATAATTTAGCAGCTAATTTCAGGAACTTATCCTATTATTTGGTAGCTGAATCGTATCATTTTGGTGCCTATCTCAACAGGCTTTCGAGTCATTGTTTGCTGCCATTTGCTTAGGTCTTTCCTCTTCTTGTTGTGGTTTGTTTGAAATTCACCTGAGGGTGCTTGTGAATATGACCTCTCTATCTCTTTAAACTCATTTGTTGATAATGAAATCAGACTTCGGTCACATGAACGTACCTCTTGCTTAAGAGAAGCATCTAAAAACTTCCTGTTACATCGGAAGACGTTTTTTTTTTTTTGGATGTCGTATTGCTTGCAAAAAGTAAATACAGAAGCCTGTTCATATTTTTGGATATGCATGAAGCAGGAGAGCTCATGATAGTGATATCGATTTTTGTTTTTCTTCCCTTATCACTCAAAATTGTCAAACTGACAAACTTTATGCATAATGATTTTGTCTGTACATTGAAATTGAATAAATACAAATCTTTGAAAAGTGTATACACATATCTACAATTGATTTCTCTTTTTGCCATAGTTGCTGGACTTTTAATAGTTGCTGCACATTTTTGGGCAACCATTCTTCAAATTCTTTCCTTCAATGCCTCCTAGGACTCTTAGTTCTTCTTCAGATTGGACAACTGGAAGATACAAAGATACCAATTCTTCTCATTATTACAATTTTCTATACTCTCTTTCTTTATTTATTCTTCATTTAGATTTAGATTTTCAAGTAGTACATCAGTCACAGAGTATGACAGACTAGGGGAACATTTGATGTGCTTCTCTGTTCGTTTGAAAGAAAAAAAAAAAAACAAACACTGAAATCATCATTGGCTTTTTGTGATGAAAATTTCCAAGGGGTGATTTTTAAATGGATAACTACAGCTTTCAATTAAAAAGCTCGGTTTGTATCCTTGTTTGATTTTAGTAGTAGTGTCCGCTTAATTGGCTTTGTGACATGTACTTTCATGTTCACAGAGATGAAAGTCCTTTTGCAGTTCTACAATGAATTTTTAAAATCTGTTACACTTTCTTTGAAAGGCTTCTACTAAAAAATTTATATAATTAGTATGGGGATATATTTTCTGAGTACCAACACGTAGCAAGGTAACGCCGACGTGTCAGCCGAGGTGCCACGTGTCCTGGTTGTGACGCCGAAGTTATCTCGGCGAGGCCGAGATTATCTCCGAAGATATCGGAATCCAAGATAAGCGGATAATGGATAAGGGGCAAGGGTCCTAAAGTAAAGAGAAGACTTTGCTAAGATAAGAATAAAGCTCTTAGGGAGTTTATCTTTATCTCTTGAGAAATCCAAAGTAAGCACTGAATGGGAGTCCATAGAAGTTAGGCTTCTATTGGGACTAGGTTTATGTTGACTATAAAAGAGAGCACCCCCGTGGGTCTAAGGTACGCAGTTTTATGCTTTGAGTAGTGAGTTTAGCACTTGGTTATCTTTGAAAGATATACTAACTTGATCGTCGGAGTACCCCCGGGTGGAAGAGCCACCGCTGGAGCCTTTTCTTTCTGTTACAGGTTTGCTGAAGCCATCTATTCTACCGGTGCTCTCCAGCTGATTACTAGGCGAGCAGTGTGGTCAGAAAATCACTCACACAATTTGGTGCCGTCTGTGGGAATCTTAGAAGAATAGATGGCCAGTAACGGACAAAAGGAAAACATTGGGGGCGACACTCCTGCTGGGAGTGGCAGACCAATTGACCTTGACGTTGAAGGAGACAACCACAATGCAGAAACTCATGACCAAGGCCACAGAGAGAAAGACGTCGGCCAGGAGGGCGGCGCTTCGAAGAGGACAGACCAAAGCAAGTATTATAACGAAGATAACCTTCAGGTATGGAGAGATAGGTGCCTAAGGAGGGATGAGGAAGTAAAAGACTTGACAAACAAATTGGCAGACCTACAGTCAGTGGTTAACTTCATGATGCAAAACAATGTCATGCAGCCACCATATCCGCTACAGGATACGCCGATGCCAACAAGGAACACCCAGAAGGGAGGAAGAAGAACAATCCCCGAAGTCCCTCAGCACACCAGGAGCGGAAGGCACTCTCATCGACCTTCCAAGGAAGGCAGACGAGAGGAGCCGAGACGAGAGGAGTCCCGAAGAACGTATCACACGAAGGACCCAGAACCCAAAGAACATCGGCATGTTCAAGGGTAAGCGCTTTGCTTTGACACAACACATGGAGAGAGATCAAAACGAGCCCACCACGAGGCCGAAAGTAGTGTGCCGAAGAGATTGAAGTCCAGAGATAGCCGAGCTCCAAGAAAGAGTAAAGAAGACTTGAGAGATTACCTCAAAAGGAAGTAACAGAATGCTGAAGCCGAGGTAACTTCCCTGGTTAAGCCGAGGACACCATTCTCGGTGGAACTGGACAAATTTCAAGCACCAAAGCGATTCAGTATGCCGAGGTTCCAAATATATGATGGTAAGTCAGATCCCAACTTCCACGTTGGGCTATACCTGAATTCGATGGCATTATATAGTGGGAACGAGCCGTTGCTCTACAAAGTGTTCCCCTCGTCCTTTGGGGAAATTGCATCAGATTGGTTCCATAAACTACCGCAGGGAAGCGTAAAGACTTGGGAAGGCCTGGCCGAGATATTTGTGGCCAGGTTTGTGACGAACAAACTGCAGCCATTGAGGGTGGACGCATTGATGGCTCTGAAGATCTGCAAAGACGAAGGCCTTAGGGCCTATGCGAAAAGGTACTATGAGGTGTTCAATCGAATACCATAATGTAATCAAGAAGTAGCGGTCGTGTCATTCAAGAACGGCCTGAAAGACAATTGTCCACTACGGAAGTCTTTGGCAAAAACTTTGCCAAAAAGCATGGAAGAGCTCATGGCGAGAATTGAGAAATATGCCAGAGCCGAGGAGGACACATCGGGGAATAAGGAGGTAAAGCAGGAAAAAGGGAACGGCGAGCCGAAGCGAAGCCGAGGTGACAACGGATTTAACAAGTCGGAGATAGAATTAAGGGATAAACAGGCATTGACGACTGTGTTCCGAATCCCAGTACACAAAGTCCTAGATCAAATCCGAAATCAACCTTATTTCAGAGCACCAGCAAAGGCCCCAGGGGAATACATGGGAAAGAACGTTGGTAAGCGTTGTGCTTACCACAATGAAGAAAGGCACCCAACTCAGGGTTGCAGAGCCCTAAAAGCATACTTAGAGGACTTAGTAAGGCAAGGCCATCTGAGGGACCTCGTCGATGAAGCCAGAACAAGAGAAGAGCAGGCAAGATTGCCTCAAGCACCAGCGGCCCCGCCTCTCCCAGCACAGCAACCACAGGGAGAGGGACCTAGGGTGGTTAATGTAATTCACTCAAAAGTGAACGAAAGCGACATTCGGGGAGAAACCCAAAGAGTAAAACACCTACAGCACGTGAACCAGGTCGGACATAAAAGACCTCAGCCTGAAGAGTGCCGAGGACTGATGATAGCCTTCACTGAAGCTGACCTAGAGATGGTCCAGCATCCGTATAATGATGCCTTGGTAGTATCCCTCCAAGTTGGAGAGTACCAAGTGAAACGCATCCTAATAGATCAAGGTAGCTCTTGTGACATCATGTACGTTAGATGTTACAAGGAGCTAGGCCTTCACCCAGACGACATGGAGCAATCGAATGGCCCGATGGTCGGCTTCAATGGAACGCCGACGTGGCCACTGGGCGCAACAAGCTTGGAGGTACAAGCCGGCACTAAGAAAATTAGAACTGTAACGCCCTCAAAATAACAACAATAAACCCATCAGATAAGACATGCATTTACATATAAACTAACCACATTCTTTTATACATTAGAGTTCCATTACATAAGTATTACATGTTAACATCAAAACAAAATGCCCTACGGGCTTACAGCTTTCCAAGTTAACACTTGGTTACAACAAAAGAGTACTAACTCGTTTACACATTAAGCCCTAGGCTTGAAGTTACATGTAATACATCAAAAGTTAAGCGACAAAAGTATGTCCGCCTCTAGCCTCCCAGCTATGTCCTTGGAGGTGGCATGCTTCCTGCACCTGAAAATGATATTCCCTTATAGGGTGAGCCACAGCCCAGTAGAAATATACTAAACCAACCATGAACAATGACTAAAATATTAGCAATTGATAGACCTGCCTAACACATCCTATAACTCAAATACGAAGTAAAAGGATGTAAACAAAATAATAAACAACTACCAACATCCACGGACACATGTCCGGATCACTGTACAACAAGGGTAAACCCGGGATCGCTATAAGAACAGAATTCGTCGTGATTGACACGCCTTCACCTTACAATGTCATCTTGGGAAGGCCATGGTTGCATGCAATGGGGCAGTTCCCTCAACGTTGCATCAACTATTGCGGTTCCCCACAGAACATAGGATTGAAGAAGTCAGAGGAGACCAACTGCAGGCAAATAATTGCTCCATAGCAACAATGAAAACTACCTGCAACATTCGGGAACCGGGGAAGGCAGAGATTGAAGACGAGGACATGGAGGTCCTAGATGATGTCGGTAAGGAGCCAGCCGAAAAGAGTAAAAAGATACTAAAGAAAATCCTCGTCTAGGAGGGCGACGAAGAGCGCTTCTTTCTCCTCGGCTCAGGCTTAGCCGAAGAAGAGGAAAGAGAACTGGAAGATTTTTTAAGAACAAACATAGAAGTGTTCGCCTGGACACCTTATGAAATGCCTGCTATTGACCCTGAGGTCACATGTCACAAACTGAACGTCGACAGGTCGGCCAAACCTGTAATACAACGAGCCAAAAGACCAACGTTGATACACGTCGAAGCTGTAGAGGAGGAAGTAGACAGACTTCTGAAAGCCAGAGCCATCAGAGAAGTCAATTACCCAACGTGGCTATCAAACACTGTAGTGGTAAAGAAGAAGAATGGTAAATGGCGGGTCTGCGTAGATTTTACAAGCCTGAACAAAGCTTGTCCCAAAAACTACTTTCCTTTACCCGAGATTGACCAGTTGGTAGACGCCACATCTGGACATGGAAGGATGAGCTTCCTGGACGCTTACAGAGGATACCACCAGATAGCCATGTACCATCCAGACGAAGAGAAGACAGCGTTTATCACCCCGAAAGGACTGTATTGTTACAATGCCTT